GAATCAAAAATACTCCAATTATAGCTCATTTATGGCAAGTGGAAGAAGTACAATCCTATGCAGCTGGGAATAGTATAAAAGCTGTTGTGATTACTGTGTATGATGCAGCAGTGGAAAGGAGGATTTAAACAGTGGACTTAACTCCACAGAGGAACTTCAAGGGCTATACACCTATGTCTCATTTTCCCATCTACAAAAAGTACAGGTAATGTGTCCCCAGTTACTTGGGAAGACTGCTGGGTGAGATTTATATAAAGTCTTCTTGAGATTTTTGCTGTAAAATATGCCGTGAACATGTAAAATATAGTTATCATATAGTGAATCGGAAGATGTTTACAGCTAATTTTGAAGTATGTATGTCTTTGCAGCCTTTAAAAATGCACTGCAAGAGCTGTGCGTTGGTAACCAGCTCTGGACACCTTCTGGGAAGTAAACAAGGTGACAGAATCGACGAGACAGAGTGCGTAATACGAATGAATGATGCACCTACTCGAGGTTATGGAAAAGATGTTGGAAACAAAACGAGCCTTCGAGTCATTGCACACTCCAGTATTCAGAGGATTTTGCGAAATCGCAACGAACTCTTAAATATGAGCCACGGTGCTGTGTTTATCTTCTGGGGTCCTAGCAGCTACATGAGGAGAGATGGTAAAGGCTTGGTGTATAATAACCTGCAGCTGATGAATCAGATACTGCCTCAATTAAAAGCATATATGATTTCTCGCCACAAGATGCTTCAATTTGATGACCTTTTTAAACGGGAAACTGGGAAAGACAGGTGAGAACTTCAATGGATACATTTGGGGGATGTCATACAGTAGTAAAATAATGTAGTTTATATATACCAATTTCAGATCTGCTCAGAGCGACCATCACCCCATTAAATTCTCTGCCTCATGAGTTGTAATATGGTATGACATGCCAAATAACATCACTTGTAACATAAGAAAAAATATGCATCAAAATAATTTGTATGGAGTATTGCCTCATCAACTTAGAATACCAGAATCTGGACGTACTGTTTATACAGCCAAGGAGGCAGGAGCTGTTTAAATCTCACTTTTTGGTAATATGCCTGAAAGTTTTTTTTACTGATTCTGAAAAATCAGAGCGGATAGGTTATGCTTTCTTATAGAGGAAATGCCACCATTCAGTGAATTATCACAGCTGTTTATTGAATTTAAGCATTCTTGGAACACTGCAGCTGTAAAGCTTCTTGTAAAACAAATAAACATTAGTCATACATTAGGTGCTTCAGAACAGTTCATCTTGTATTTCCAACTGGGAAAAGGAAAGTTGTTATGATAGTTACATCTTCATGAGACTGTTTATGACTTGTAGGCTGATCTTCCAATCAAATTTTTAATAAGTGACCCACTGCAGGACTTGAGCGTTTTCACATACAATGTTTGAAAATGGGCATTTAAACCAAAGACTTCCTAGCAAGAAATACATTTATTTTTAATGAACTCCTATTTTTTACTTATTAAATACACTGCTGTAAAAATGGAACAGGGTCCCCACTTAGGTACAAATGAAGAGGTAGGCGTATTGTGCAGTAACTCACGGTGAGATTTTCTAGCTTCACAAATATTACACATATGCACCAAAGCTTGGAGCTGAGCTCGATCCTCTTGTGAGCAGGGAGGACTCCAGAGCACAGACTTTGTTTTCTGGGCTGCAGAACCTGTGTTAGAGGAAACTGTTATATCGTCTTAGCTGACGGCGACTGTATCTGCTTCGCATTTGCTGCCTTTGTCTGTCATACCCCACGTGGTTTGCTCACAGAACTCTGTTCAATTATAGTGGATCAAACTACGTATCGAAGTTCTTGATTGACTCACACTAACACTAGAGCACACGGTAACTTGGTCAGTTTCTTAACCATTAAAGGTCCTTTCCTCTTCTTCCTCAAATCGGTGCTTTTGAGTCTCTGCCAGAGGCTCTGCCTCTGCCAGAACGAGAAGGAAGGGTAACAAGGGGAGATACCCTGCCAATTCTGATGCGTTACTGTCTTTTCCAGGTTTGTTCACCCAGAGTAGAGCAAATTGAGAAGGTGAATTAAGCATTCGAACCCTTCAAGAAAAGTGCAAAGGATTATCTGTATGCCCAGTATTTACAAAGGCATGAAAGTTAACAAAGCTGTAGTTGCACTGAAACGTGAGCCACCATCGGCCCTAAGGGTCAGACCCTGTACACAAGGAATGCACACTGCCACCTCCTTTCCTGGCTTACTCTTTAAGACCACATGCAGTCACCAGTTTTGAGGAACAGTTTACCCCCCCTGCTTCAGTCTGGCCAGTTCTGCCGTGGGGAGTTAGAGTCCCACTCCTTTCCTGACACTTGCTGTGCAATTTCAGGCAAGCTGCTCATTCTGGTTCTGCATCACCCATCTGGAGCAGGAGGCCTAGAGCTGTGCATGTGATGAAAGCATTTCTTTTTCTGCTCAGGCACCAGGCTCAGTCTTGGCTCCTGAAATATTCTCAAGGCGTCTGAGACATTAATGACATTATAACAAATTTGTAGTGGACTCAGTCATGGGCACCCTGAACTCCCAGTGTGAATCAAGAGCACTTGGATGCTAGGAAAATTCAGCCTCATGAACAGGTCCTGTTGCTTTTAAGAAATTGCAGGCTCTGCTGTGTATGAACAGCTCCTTTAGAGGGAATGTACAGCATAATTGAAGGACTAAGAAGATTACAGGGCATGTACAGCATACTTGAAGGACTAAGAAGATTACAACGGGAGATGAAAATAAATGAATAGGCAGCACAGAAAAAGAGAGGGAAGATGAAAAGAAACAGGGGTAGGAAGGAATCTGTAAGGGAAGAAAATTTATGTAGCTGTGGGGGCAGGAGCAGAACATTGTACAGCCCAGAATGTTGCTGTGCCCTGGGAGGTTTCTGCTGAGCTCTTGACATTAGTGCCTGGAAAAAACAAAGGAGGGAGAGAGAAGCCTGATTGCAAGGTTGCAATAATCAAACCATTCATTTCTGTCTTGAAAATGATGAAAAAAAAGGTAATTGGATGTATTGTGCTTTTAGAAAAAAAGCTGATTTTGAAATGAAGGGAAACCTTCAGAAAACATTGCCAGTTAAATAGTATGGTGAATGACAAAGGCTGCAGAGCAATATACTTGGTATTATAAAGTAACTGTACTTGAAAATAACTTTATAATTGAATAAGGGTACATGAAGAAAATATGATTCAGAACCAATATTATAGTAATTAGATAAAGGAAGCATAAATGAAATAACTGCAGGAAGAGTATTTCCATAGAGATTATAAATGAGATTTTGGTGGAGCAGAAAGGCCTTTAACTGTAATTTAGTGTGCACTACAGAATTATCAGCACAGTGTGTTAGTTCATCGTATAAAAGAATATCTGATAATTTCCCCTAATAAGCACATGACAGTTCTTCATATTCTTTCATTACAGCTGATTAGGTATAAAACCAATATTCTTTTGTCGGACTCTTGTTCAGATCTTTTATGAAAAGGCAAGACACTGTAACCCTGTTTCTATATTGCTGTCCTACAGACGTGGTATTTAAAGACACCAAAGTGATACTTCAGAAAGTTTTTAAATCTTTATTTTGTTGTTTAGCTTTTAAGCTAGTTTATTTAAATTCAGTTATTCTCCTATTTATTGCAAACACTAAATTACAGCATAAGCGTGCGCAAGCAAAAAGAAAACTAACCCAGCAGACAGCCTAGCTAGGTTGCCGGACCTGTGCAAAGCCATGGTCTAGCTATAACTGCTCCCTCGGTTTTGGAATCGAAGGTCTTAGGCATCTAAAACAGTGGCCTTGTGCAAGCTCCGAAGTACTCCTAGCCTGAACGTGTTCCTGAATTCCTAGCGATTCATAGGCTCAGAAACTCTCAAGTGGCAGGAAAGCAAATTTTTTAGGCTTTTCCCTAGCTTTCCCTTTCCTAATAATTTTGAGCCAAAAATTATTATTTACTGTTTTGTATTGTTGCAGTGCCTGAAGGCCTCTGCTGAGCTTATGACCCAGCTATGACATTGTGACAAATTGCACCACCCCTCCCCAAACTTAAGTGCAAATTCATAAAATAAATAAGGCCACATAATTGGAACTAATGAGATGCTTAAATCATGTTATTCTCCAAATGCTAGCTTAGCCTGAAAGTCTGTACGTTAGGAGCAGTAAAAACGTACGTTTCAGGAGTTCATACATTACCAGGTGACCCACAAAGGACAGGACAAATTACCTAGGCTCCCCAGCATCCTTCAGGCATTTTTGGTTAAAGAATTCCCTTACGTTTAGAAGTGCCTTTTAAGCAGCCGGTGTTGATACCACTACTTTTTTTTTCTTTGCAATAGTCTAATTTACTGAGGAAATGGAAAACCTTGGTACAAGGCATTCCTCAATCTGACAGTGCTCCAAACATCTCTCTCCTACTGCCCTGTAGGTGACCTACTTGGAACCAACTTGTTCGGCATTAGCTTGGGAAGCTGCATGGTGGGCTCTTGCCTGCTGAATTACATATTAGTGATTGCTGGCACTTGCTTGCAGCGGTGGTTGTGGTTTCAGGTCCCTGCTTCCAGGACTGTTGTGCATTCTGCTATCACTGGGTAAACTGCAAAAGGTGGCCTTGGAACTGGGGTCAGGACCTGGGATTCCCAGGTGACTGCTCTGATAAGAACCTCACGTTCTCTGCTGTGCTTTTTTTGGGAGTCACAAAATTTTGCAGGTGTCAGGCAGATGTAGGTGTGGTGTAATGGGGTTAACGTAGGTTCCATGTTAGTACAACCTGATGCAGCACACGAGCCGTCCAAGAGCCTGTGCTTGCTCTCGCGGTGCCTCAGCTTTAGTAACAGATGAAAGGAGAGCCAGTCACTGTGACAGGCTGTCATCAGACATCTGAGGCCTTTTTGGGACACGGATGACAAGCTTGAACTTCTTCCTGCAGGACTTACCTAGCGGAGTGAGGAGCCATTAGGGAGACCTGCTCTCTCCTTCTTTAACAGTATTTGAAAGGAGACCTTTGAGTGAACTTGTTTTCTCTGGAGCAAATACTCGACTATGCGCCTCCATTTCTAAGAGGGGTGCCTGACTTCGTCCTGTAGGGGTGCCCCTAAATATGCCTTTATGACACCTTTAAGACGTGCTCCTCACTGGCATTTCATTGACTCTCCCGTTCCAAGACTGCCAGCTCTCCCCAGGCATAGGGACAGTGCAGGAACTTAACACAGGACTGGGACTTCCAGTGCATGCGCTAGGCAACCAGAACCATTGTGGCACCCAGCTCTTACACACTAAACAGCAATGACAAGCAAATGCTAGAAAGAGGAAATATTACTGTTGCCATTTTGCAGATAAGAACCTGTGATACACCAAAATTTAAGCACAGCTTGTAAATCTCTTACAGCTGTGAGCACTTACACGGAGCTATGTCCTATTTTGCACACATAATGCTGGGCTCAGTTCTGCTTCTTTTAAAGATTTCTCCCAGCTTGCAGAGAAGGCCAGGAAAGGAGCTGCCTTCGAGGGCTCCCTTGCAGCACTGTCGCTCATAGTCAAAGGTCCCACCAGGCGGGGACGGGACTTAGGGCAGGCAGAGGGGTTAGCACCTAGGATGAAGGTTTCCCAGGCTGGCTAAGGGACAGGCATAGCTGCAGCTAAGAGTTTCCTGCCAGCAGGCACAGTGAGTGGCTGGGAACTTGTAGAAACCAAATCATGGGCGGGGTGGGAGGAAGGATGGTTAGACCAAGCACTCGAGGCCAGACCTCGCTCCCGCAGGCAGGCTCCTCTGTATGCTCTGGGAGGCAGCATTTTAAGCAGCCCTCTGCATCATGGGGGATGAAGTGCTCTTCCTGAGCACTTAGTGTGTAAGCTCCATTAGGTGATTATAGATGTGTATAGATTACTAGCAGAAGAATATAAATATAGGACATGAAGTTTCAGTCACTTAAGGTAAACTTACCAAAAGGTCAGCTAAATATTAACATTGCTGTGCCCAAAATCAATTACAGCAAGGGCAGTTTCTGCATAGATTAGTCTACTGACAGAAGACACTAGCAAAATCATTGAAAGATAAATGAGCAAAGTAGTCTTAGTTGCCCAATTTTCATAACCTTTCACAAGAATGAAAAAAATGCCCAGAAATTGCTTCAGATATCTCAAGAATTATTTGTCAGCCTAGAAACTTAATTATGTTTTTGCTTTCAGGAAGATATCCAACACTTGGCTTAGCACGGGCTGGTTCACAATGACTATCGCATTAGAGCTCTGTGACAGGATAAATGTTTATGGCATGGTGCCACCGGATTTCTGCAGGTAGGATTTATTTTGGAACCGTTACTAGCCAACAAGGTTGAACGTTACAGATAAATATCTGAATCTTTTAAATTTTTTTCTCTGCAACATGTCTTCAGTCTTCTTAAAGCAATTAATTAACAAGTCCCAAGATCTGATTCTGAAAACAACAAACAGCATTTAATTATGTTACATAAAATATTTAAAAATTTTGTTTGTAGTATGGGAGAATTAATCCATCTTGTTGGTTTCTTTTAGTCTCTGAATATTTATCAGCTAAAAGTAATGCAATAATTGGCATGAAATTAATCTGAAAAAAGGAGTACTGGAAAACATTACTTTTAATTTGTTTTTAAAGTTCCCCCCCGGTTAATAGATGAAGGGAGTTCTCACAGTGACCAGTTTCTAAATTGAACTTTCTACGCAACTCAAATTAAGGTGGTCGTATCTCTGTCACATGAGTCCCAACCTTCTAGTAAACTATCTTCCTAAATAATACCCACCAAAAAAACCCCCAGAATTTGGACCTGCAGAATAGGTGATCAGTCCTGCAGTCACCCGTTTTGGTCATGCAGGGTGTGGGCCACAAGTGGTAGAAGTAGCACCACAAATTCTGTCAGTGGAAGCTATGTGACCCCTTCACGGTATTTTATAAAGTAACAGCATGTGTACATTTTACTGCTACGTTGTGCCTCCAGCCATATTCAGGACGCAGGCCCAAGGTGCTGGTAAAGGTTTCCTGCTATGGATCAGTGATAGAGGGAAACAGTCTTCAGGACTTCTGGTTCTGGACCAAAATCACCTTAGCCACATGATGCAAAGCACTGATCCAGTATAAATTCATACAAATTTGTTTTACATCAGCAATCTTTATGCTGACTTCAGTATCACCTGTCCATCCATTACTAGGCCTAGTACTCTGGCCTTTCAGAAAAATGTGGTTATATGCCCACACCTAGTCCTGATCCCATTCGCACTGTTAGGTGACCCAGCAATGCACAGAGCTGGTACTGGCCGTCCGGAACGATGGCATCAGTGCCGCGTTTCATCACCTGCTCACGAATTGCTTTCACTAAGAAGTACTTGCTTGAATTTTCTGTTGCAAATTTAGTGATCTCTCTGAAGTCTAGTTCATTGACTAATTCAAGATGCCTTTCAGGGGCAAGGGCAGCAAGGCTTCAGTGACAGGTTAGCTCATCTATCAAAGAACAGGACTGCTCTGATTTTCTTCTGAGCGCTGAAAAAGACCATTCCGGAATCTGCATTTGTCCTGGGCACATAGTAGAAATCCCTGAAGAAATTACCATATAAAATGTCAACATTAAATTCCACTTTGTAAGAATTTCTACAAATTATAACAAAACACTGATGATAAATGCTGTGATGTACTGCCAGATTTCATCATGAATTCTCCAAGGAAAATAACCAACTGGATCAGATATTCCAGACAACATAAATACCTTCCACAGCACAGCATTTCAGTTACCCTGTCATTTCAGTTGGCCAAGACACACTTCTTCAGTTTCTGTAAGTGGCTGGTCTGTCGCACTCCAGAAGTGGCTGTATTCCAGTGGCACATGGAAGGAATTCTTAAATAAACTGATGATCTAAAAATGCAGAAGACAGCAATTCACCGAAAAGCAATGCTCAGTCCTAACTTTTCAGGCAAAGGCAGATTAGTTTAGATACATATACTTAATTTAAAAAACCCAACCGTTTCCAAGAGAGGCTAAAATTGTCACCGAGACCATATGAAAGCTTTCATAGAATTGATATACACTGAAATCAAATGGATATAATACTAAATTGTAACACAACAAAGGCTGTAATCAATCCTACCATTGATAGACGTAATAATGCTTACAGCCTGCATAAAAAAATCTTACCATAAAGGTATACTTACCTGGTCGTAAAAAAGGAAAAGGTCATTTCTTAATCAAAAGAATATAAAGTGTCTTCACTTCAGGTTTATTCCCCACATGATAAAGGCGACAACTGTAGTTGCCGTGCCTGGAAGAAGCTATCCATGAAGATCTATGAAAGGAACCTCTTGCCATAAATATAGTTAACCTTCTTAGTTTGCTGTTCAGCCACTCGTTAAGAAGTTAAACAGTGCTTCCTTTCAAGGAAATTAGACAACAAAATAGAATAGCAGAAACAAAGAAATACTCTGTAATTTTAAGCCTTATTTCCTGGTTTTCAGTCAGACAAAATACAAATCTACCATTAGAAAAAGAAAAAACAAAAAACAAAACAACAAAACCCCCCACCCTACCTCTCTCATGTGTGTGTGAGATGGTATAGGTGCTTCAGTTGCTATGCAACTAAAGAATCATTAAGATTAAAAAATACTCTTATTTCTATTCAGAGTTAATATCACCAAATTTACAACTTCAGCAGATATCCATTATTTTTTAAGTATTAATTTGTGGAGTAAGTAATGAGTGTGGGTGATCACTGTCATGGAACTAAATTAGTATCACATCTGTAACATGAAGGACATCTCAAAGGTATCGTGAGTATCGTACTGTTGATTCTGCTACAAATTATTAGCTTAAGATCATTAACCAAATTGCTTCCCACCCATGCGGGAAAAATAGTCTAGTGAAGGAGTCTGGAGTACAGACTAAAAGATTTGTCACTATTAATTGCAACAACGTGTTTTAGATTCATTCCTGTTTACTTTCACTGGACATTGATTTTTTTATAGCTGAACTGGAATTGGTGACCTGATTATTATAAATTTCTAGTACTTTACAGCAATATGTAATATCGGATCCCTTTGCTACAGATTTATGCTGTAGCAAGGGTTAATGGCTTTGATATTGCTCTCATGCTGTTAAATACATCTGACTTGCACATTCTAGAATAAGATGAAAGTTTGTGCTTCCACGCACATTGCAGAGATTGTGGAGAGTGTGTGCACCTCGCATTCTTTTGTCACAAGAAAGACAAGCCATTTTGCTGTATTGTTTCCAGTGCCCAGGGATCCAATCCTAGCCTTTGCTGGAGCAAACTAGCACCCCAGATGGGAAGCATTTCCCTCTCTGAGCTCCCTTTGGCAGCCTGCCGTATGCACAGGACTCACTCCTGAACTGGGACACCAAGGATTTTCCTCTTGCCTCCCTACATCAGCAGCCAGACTGTGGTGCACAGATAGCACCACAGTTCCTGAAGGCACTGCAGTAATGCTGCTGCTTTTCTTTGTGGCTGCTCAGCAGCGTCGGTGGGAAGGACACAGACAAGCCTTAATGCAGTTTGCAACAACTCCAGTCTCTGGAGTATCAGCAGCAGTGAGAGGCTGGTTCCTTGCAGATATCTCTGGGTACTCATGCACACAAGGAAAACTCAGGGTGTTGGTGAGAAGAGCCCTCGTCTTCATGGGCCTTCTGGAACTCACAGAAACTTAAAGCTGAATTCTGAGCCTTATTTTAACTACTATGAATAATTTTTGCTCCAATTATCAAGCCAGATCATTTTCCTATAACAATCCTCATTTGACTGCCAGGCCATTTCCCATCTGTGATGATTTGCCTAAAAATCATCTGAAAAAGCGTTTGAAATCCTTTAATTTATTCCTTTGGGTAGAGCTTTTAAATCTAGTGTTTTCTTACCTCCCTCTCTCCACTTTCAATTGCTTTAAATCGAGTGCAAAGAAACAATTGTTGCTAGTTACGTTTCCTGGGGCTTATGAGGGGCTAGATGGAAGAAGGGGTGCTCACAGGTTTGTAAACTGTATGGGAGATAGTCATGCCCTTTGGTCCATATGCCTGGATCTCACCTCATTACCTTAATAACCATAATGAAACGCATAAATGGTTTGGAAAACAGGGCTAGTATGGAGGTCAAGGAAATGGGATCCTGGGAATAGAATGCAAAAAATTATGCAGAAATCTTCACAGTCCTGGCACAGCACCTTGCCCATCACTCAACATGTGAATGAGACTTTATTCGCCCTTCAAAATAGGAATTATTTTACAAAGCGTGTGAGTACATATAGTTTTAGTGGGTTGATTTATAACGGCTCTCATTGGTAAAGGAAGAGGTTGACCAGAACGTGATATGGGATGGCCTTGTTCTTCTGCCTTGTTTCTTTTGAGGCAAACACCGTTTGCTGTACTTTCAGCTTTCACTGTGGGTGGATACCATCTGTGGGAAACAGTAGATGACTGACATTGGGTACAAGCACTGAGACGGTTGCTGTGCTGGCAGGCTATTAGGCAGGAGGTATAGTATATTTTACAGAGGAACTTTTCCTAGATTCCTCCCAGCTGTGATATTAATATGCATGCAAAGTCTGACAAAATACTGATTAATGTCCAGTATCAGTCAGTGATAAAACAGCATCTGTTTTAATGTTAATAAATGAGGTGGCAAGCAATTTCCGTATAGAAATTACTCATGCATTTCATTTGCTGGTGACACAAGCTAATTGCAGAGTTAGAAGATAACACAGTACAGTTAATTTGGGTTATGGTGTAGTTACTCAAGCCAGAGTTCAAATCCAAACCTTACTAGCATGCAATCTAGGGGAATCCAGAACTCCCATGAAAGGAGAAGGACTTCAGACAAAACCTCCTAGGTACCTAACTGCCTTTCAGAGTTCCTAAATCCAAAATATGACATTTGGAATTTAGCCTCAAAGCCTCAGTCAGCTGCAGAGTAGTCTTGGAGAGGTCCAAAGCCACCAGCGTTTTCATTTTTGCATTGAATTCACCTCCCGTTCAGCCGGTAGACCTGCATACAAGCCTTGACAGCACCCATCAGGGGATGCCTGAACCCAGCAGGGTGCCTGGACTGCGCTCCTCTGCCTCTCTCGCCTGCCAGGCCCTGTGCAGCAGATGTTTCTGAGGGGACGTTGCACAAAATATAGTGACCCATTACAGCCTGGAGCTAAGGGCATCCACTTAGGATACTCTGGTGTTAGCTTCAGAGCCTTTGCTGTAATGGAGAATCCCTGTCTTCAAAAGGGAAATCCATTGCTAAAATATCCACTGGTAGAATACTGGTAACGTAAGAGATAGAGCAGTTACTGGGAGGTACAGGCTTCAAAATGTTGCTTCAAAGAGGTAAAAGAAGAGTGTAAACCTAGGTAAATACTAAGTTAGCAGAGTGAGGGAGAAGAAAGAGGACCACTATCAAGCCTTCTCTCCTTCCTCTCTCCATCTGATCCACCTGCCCCCTGTACCTGTATACTTTGGGGTTTGTGTGGAGAAAGAAATGACCAGCGTTCCTGTAGATGCTCTGTGAGAAATCCGATTCCAGTTATCACTATCATCCATTGCTAATTTCAGCGTACAGCAAAGGAATAGGGAAGAGACATACAGCAGTCAATTTCCTGCTTTTTGCTCTTCCAGTTCATGTTCTGCAAACCCAATTCAGGCCTTCATAAAAAAAGGGGTGGGGTGGGGCGGCGGAGGGAGGACCCCAACCAAATCTACCCGGAGGTATCGGGGCCAGCAGCCTTGCAGCTCACTTTGCAGTACTGGGCCCTGAGCAGTTAACTTATTTCCACTGTGACTGCATTTGTTCAAAGTCTGTTGGAGATATGGTTTCAACTTTACTAATCCTAACTTTTAAAGCAGTAAATACCCACCAAGCAATATAGGCTTGCCCTCGAGAACACAGGAGTAAAAGCCAGCTTCAGTGCAGAAAGGAAGAGCAGTCTAAATGAGAGGCAGACGCCTATTTGTTTAGTAGTTCTTAAGAAAAAATAAATCACATTAAAATGTATCCTGTTAGATTTACAGTAACCATACAAATGATTCATTTAAGAGATTATAATGAGGTCCAATGTCTCAAAAAAGTATGTGAAAAATTAATTGAAGATTGAGATCTAATAGTTGTAGCTGAAAAAAAAAGTAATAAATTTCTATATGAAGGGTGTTTTTTACATTACAAATATGTTTTCTGTAGGTGAGGTATTGAAGGATTTCTTTTCACTCTCTTATGTGTTCCGGTGAGAATATATGAAGTAAATTTAGAATCCGTCTTATTCTAGAAATGTAATTTTATTGTTATTCTGGTCTTGTAAGATTGATCACCGCGTTGTGTTACCAGGAAGCTAGATTGATTGAATTAAAACGTTAATCTAAGGTACAAATGGAAAGCAGCAGCAATATCATACATTACCACTGCATATACAATATGGATAATAGTAAAATAAGGAAAATTAGAGAATTGCGTCGGTGACAGAATTACACAGTAAAAATAGCGACCAGGACAGAATACTGACAGATTGTGGATGCATTCAGTTGAAAGTGAGCTTAAATATTAGCTCTTCAAAATGAAAATAATCAACTCTGTATTAGAGCTGACAGCCCTGAATCTGCATGAGATTTCTTGCTCTTTACTAGGGTCCTGTTCAGCTCAGGCTTTAACATGGAGCAGTTCCAAGGCTTCACTAAATGGTAGTATTTGGATTAACTTTTCTGCCACTACAAAATAGTTTGTTGGTAGCAACTGTGGAGATGGGTACAACTGGGTTATTCTGTCTGGGACAGCTCTCTCTCTTTGAATTTATGACAGAGACGGTTGTATGAGTTCTTGTCAGCCCAAAATGCCTGTGCCCAAAGTAAAAACATAGTGGGTACATTTAATGTAGAGAATAAAACAAAAGGAGAATGAATCACTCTGGCTTATTAGAAGTATAATACAAATGTGTCTTTTACAGAATGTAACATCAAAACAGTGAGGTTAGAACTGCTAAAATGAACTCTATCCTAAATATCTAATTGGTCTTTAGCATATCCTGTGCGTTACCTCGTGAGTACTGCATCTCCTGCTGGTGAATGCCGATGGGCTCACAAGGTCAGAAGGATACTATGGGTGAACGGTTTTAATTTATAGCTTAGATACACGAAAGTTGCCATTGTAAAATCAAAAAGAACTCATTTGTGCATCAGATGTTTGATTATAAACCCAGCAACAACAGACTGTATCACTGACCTGGCCTGCAGATAGGCTCATGGAAGTTGTGCACTCAGAACCTCGTGCCCCATGCTGGGAATGTTCAGCTGAGCTGATGTGACACAGATAACCACCTCCCCTCTATCTTCCCCTTCCTTTTCTTCCCCCAGCTCAGTAAATACCTCTGCAAGGCTTTTTACAAATCACAATTTAGATAGAAATCTCTTTTAAGCAGTTTGCTTCAAATTTCAGAGTAGTAACACAGCCCTGCAGCACTCTCCCTTGTTTTTGAGCTACTGCTGTCCTTCATATATCTGGGAGGAGGGGATTAAAGGAGAGCAATAGAAAGAGCAAAGAAAACACCTTTGCCCCATTCTGATGTATTAAATATGCAAGAAAAATACAGCTACCTAGAAATTTGGTTTAACCGGGAGAAAAAGTGGATTTGAGCCCATCAGCTTATTAAAGATAGCATCTTTTCAATCAGTAAAGAAGAACATCTCGGGCTTCCATCTGTTTTCTTTCTTCCACAGGGATCCTAATCATCTTTCAGTACCTTATCATTATTATGAACCTTTGGGACCTGATGAATGCACAATGTACATTTCACACGAGCGGGGACGAAAGGGCAGTCACCATCGTTTCATCACAGAGAAACGAGTGTTTGAGAACTGGGCACGGACATTCAATATTCACTTTTTCCAACCAGACTGGAAACCAGAACCGCTCACTGTAAATCACCCTGAGATTAAACCGGTGGTCTGAGGGATGAACGCACAGGACCGCAATCACAGTCACCCACTGCGTCAGCCTTCGGGGTGTTGGGCCTTCTGGGACAGCAAGGCAACCTAGAGGAGAAGGGCAACAGCATTTGCAGCTGATAACTGCAGCAACAGTCAGGAAGTTAGGATGAAGGAGCAGAGCGTATCAAGAGTACTTTCTGTCGAACTGTGTATTAATCAGTATATAGCCTCTTCTGGCCATCTGACTTCCTGTATGTGTACGTGATTTGTGAAAAACAACTTGAGTATCATTGACGGGATGGTTAATTCATTATGGTTTTTTAAAGTACAATGCCACTGAATTTTCATAGTGAAAACTTATGGTATTTATTTAATGGAGGTTTTTATGCAACCTAGGCTAGTATTTTTCTAATTCACAGTTATGTGGTTGTTTATCTTTCATAATCTTTCAAATCAAAAATTAATATTGCTGATGGTTTGAAAGGCCTAGCTTTTTATTTATAAAATTTGTTGGAAAATATGATTCTATATAGCATGTAATTAATATTTGAGCTGGAAATGTTGCATTTCTTTTAAAAATTTTGGGCTCCGTTCCAGCCTGAAGCCTTTAACAGCAAGAACGGTCCCATGTGCAGATCTTGCTAACTTTACATTCTGACATCCCGTGTTAATATGAAAACGGTAGTGAAAATTCTGTTTGATATTAATGTGCATTTGCCGCTGTTCTATCAAGCTGCTGTTTTTTCATTCGGGGTGGGAGGAAGGAGGGCGAAGTTTATCCAAAAAAAATCAGTCTACAGCAGCATGCTTTCAATGAAGAAGAGACCAGCTAAGGCTGGAGGGGTTGTGTTCTGTTTTGCCTCTTGTAGTCCTGCAAGAGGCTGAAGGAGCTGCCCCTCCTAAGGCAACAGACCACAAACCAGGCAACAACGGCTTGAAACAACATGACCAAATTTCTGAAATCGAGAAGTTACACTACCGGGTACTACAACACCAGCCATACTAGCCAGAAAGATTGCGCCTGCACAAATCTCTGCCTTCCGCTGTTCCAAGATCATCGCTGATCTCGGAGATCCTGGATCCCACTGAAGCTGGGATGTGAAAAGAGCTCCACGAGTACAAAATTGTCCCCTTGAAAAGAGCAGAGTTACACTTGGCAGTTTTTTGGTGAAGTACACGTGCATGGCGAGTCCCTGCAAACCAAGGGGCCGGACAATGCTAGTGCTGTATATGGAGCCTCACAGTGTGAATTACTGGGTTACATTTGGCTTGTGAATAAAGAAGATTTCAGTTAGAGTATTATTTTTCCTTTTGCCTCACAAATACTAAATCTCTAATTTCTTTGAAGTAATCTGTTGGAGTAATTATTGCATGAAACATTATACCTCAGATGACGAAAGGTGTCTCTCATTAGACAAATACTAAAGCTAGAACAAAGATACTACCTTAAAACATCTAAATCCAGGAAGCTGAACCTCAGAGGTGACACGTAGAACTGGGAACAAACTCACTATCATTTAAACCCACTTACAAGCCACGGTCTTCCTCTTTCCAAAACTGGATAGCAATAGCTGCAGCTGCCCTACAGATTCCCCGAATCTCTGGGGACAAAGTGAACTGCCCTGTCAGGGGCAAAACAGTGTTACCCCTGTAACACTGCGTGGACCCGAACAGCAGGCCTCCAAGAGCCACTCTCCTTGCTGCAGCCCTCCCCACTGTCAGAGAGCAAGAAACTATAACCTATTTTGCCTTAAAATTTTTCTTTTGGTGTTCTTCCTGGTACGCACCACTCGGCATACAAACCGAATGCAAAGCTCTGCTGTTGCCAATGGCTTGTAACCTTGCTCTTGTCGGCTCTTGTCAGCTCTCCCTCTTTCACTGACTTCCACTTGATTTCACAACGTTCTACAAAAAACAGCATGGATTTTGAACTAAGGGTAATTTGAACATCCCTTTCAGCATGTGTACTGGGGCGTGCATCCAGCATATATTGCTCAAATTGATTTACAGATCATGTCTAACGTGACTGCAAGAGATGGTACAGATCACAGTAGGTCCTCTGATGGCATCATCCTTTTGTTATTTTATTTGTGATATAATAATAAAAAGATCCTGTCATTCTAAAATAGAGCTCTTAGTTTTTCCATCAATCGAGGGCTGCAGGATGCATATGCTAAATGTTGAGTTATGTTATTGTTAAAAACAGATCATTTTAAAAGAGATTACACTGATCTACTTTTAGTATTCAGCAGAAACATGGGGACTTGCCAGACTCCGTTGTGCTCCACGTGCTTGTTTCCTATCTGCAAGACTGGTCAGTACCAGTAGGTCAGATGAAGCATTAAGAATGTGAAGAAGAAATGTGGGATAAACTGACACTAAATCTCCTAACTTCTAACAGAGTGAAGCTAAGGATAGTAAATATTCCTTCTTCAGTTCCTGTTCATAACAGCTACGTGTTCTTGTTACCCTTACACACATCCAGCCTTTCAAACAAAACCACCCCAAAACTCACTTTAGTCTCGTCAACTTCCTGTGGAGTTCGAGCAAGTTCCCCCATCTAATTACAAAAAGTATGAAGGCGCATTTTCTAAGAGTAAGTCACACCTGTATATATAAAACTCACTGCAAAAGGAATCTGATGAAGCCAAGGAGACGGCAAGTTTTAAATAGGATTGATCACACAGATTTATATGGAATATAAATCCAGTCCAAAAAGCACAAGTTGTAAGAGTGCAAAAGAAATGTAACTAATTTTTAAAGTGCTGTAATTTTAGTTTACAAATTACCAATGTATTTTTCTATAAAAGCACAATTTTTGAACTGCAGCATATCCCGCTACATTTCAGCCTGAAGTAAGGTTTTATGGCCTAGTTATAAACCAAACAGATTTATGACAGAAAATGCTATCAGGCCAGAGGTAAGTAGTACAAACTAGGCGCTGCTGCCATTCTCTGGTTTATGCTGTCGTCTTAGACCCTTCACTATCATTTGATCGATTCATGATCTTCAGCGCGCATCATTTCACATATTAAAAACTGTTGCGAAACAGTGTTTACAGACATCAGCAGTTTTAAGATCTATGCTAGTTACTTTAGTTCTGAACTTCTTGCATACCTTTATGCTTGGCTTCATCAGAGTAGCTCTTACGCGTGATACGTGCAACTGGAATTGAGAACGGTGAAGAAAATCTCTCTGCAAATAGGAACAGAAAAATGCGACCGTTGGCTTCTGTTACTTTGGCACAATGGTTGCAAGATGCCCAGCTAACAGCGTCGCGATACAAAGCAAAAACACGATGCACTTCGAGAAAACCTTCCATCCAAAGTGTTAAAGCACCTCAGAAAGACAAGTTAATACTGTTTATTCCTGGGTAAGGAAACTGAGGAAAAGGGAGGTTAAGGTTAAGAAACTTAGGAAGACTGAGTTACAGCCTTAGCACTACATTTTGGAAGAGAGTCAGGTCTGCTGACAGCTACTCCTGGCTCTAGCCAGTAGAACACACAGTGGCCATTTCATATATTATATATACATACACACCAACAGGAGCGTAAAGTGATAAAATTCTGCAGGAGGTGCTTACCTGGGTCTTGTCCTGCAGTACTTCTCAGGCAAACTTCATAGGAAACCAAGTGATTTTTACCCAAGATAGCTCTAAGGAGGCAAGGACACAATAATATAAAAATGGCTGGAAAAACACTGCGGGTTGGGGTGAGGGGAATCTAAAGAGTAAGGAATAGAAGGTGGGTTTTTTATAGCTAGCTAGCTGTATTCCCCTGGAGTATGAAGATCAAAGTCAGGCTGGAGCTGACGGAGTGGAAAGCTGTGGCTCAACAGCAATGGCTGTCCTGCAGAAGTTTCTTTTCAACACTCTATCACCTGTGCCACAAAAACTCTTTGAAGAATTCCGATAATCACCTCTGACTAATGAAAGTTAATTATTTTATTTGATGCAAGGAGATGCAATATCTAGTTCAATTAAAAACATAGCTTAGGGATAAAAAACATAAAACAGTTGAACAGTGAAAGAGTACTTGCAAGACAACAAAATGTAGTGCGAAAGAAAAGAAAGTACAGAAACCTTACAGGTATCAATACTTCACCTTTCCTGATCAGTCAATACTGATCACTGAGTTTCCAGCTGCCTCCTGCAAGCACACCTTACATATCACAAGTATAAGATTTTATAAGGAGAAAGGAGAAGAAAAAAAAAATTTTAATGACATCTCCTTTAAAGAAAACTAGGAAATATGAAAGGACAAGAGTCTAAGATGGTAAGAAATTTCTCCGTACTGAAGCAGAAAAGTAAAAAACTCAAAGGATGTTTTCTAAAACAGCTGTAAAATGGCTCTGCTTATGCTAAATACCATTAAAACCACTAGATTGCTAAATGTTTTCTACACCGAAAATTACAACAAAACATGAAATGTCAATTGAAACCCTTCGACCACCGTGAGGATGGAGTTTCAGTATCACAGTGGAAACAAAGATGGTGACTTTTATCACGGCTGACTGCAGAACAGGCTCCATGGCCAATGCAGACGTGCGGAAACGGGCCGTGAACCAGCAATCCTTCGCTTCTGTGGCACCCGCCCAGGGGTGCCAGCAAGAGAGCACACAGCTGTCACAGGACACGCTCTCGCACTGCCAGCAGAAAAGGGAGACATTCCCTTGTGTTGTCTGTCATTGAACACCAGACCAGGCCAGAGAAACTACTCAGCAGATGACCAACATACAGTGTCCTTGCTCACCGTGGAGTACTTCGACCAGGAGTTGTCAGGAAGACAGAAAAGACAGGAAACTACAGACAAACAACCCCAGCAACCCAGACAAATCGATGGAAAACCGTCACAAAGAATTGGCAGTCATCGAGAAGATACATTGCTAAGATGTAATGCAGCTTTTGTAAGAGAAGTCATGCCTTGCAAATCTATTTAGAGTTCTTCAAAGTTCTCTGAAGCAAGTGGACAAGAAGATCCAGGTAATGAGTCCACTTGGAGTTCCACAACTAGTTTTGCAAGGTGTCTCTTAAAAGAATTCCAAAGAAGCTACGGTACCATGGGATGAAAGAGAAGATCCTCACCTACGGAACCCATCTGAACACAGGACATAAAGGCTAAGAGGATACATCATCAGCTTAAGGTTACAAGCAGAATTCCACAGGAAAATGTCACAATGTATTTTCTCTGCTTTTCTGTACTCTTCCCTTGGCGTCTGCCATAGGTCGCTCCAAGACACAGGATACAGAGGCTAGACTCTGTCTAAATAAATAGATAAAGAAATATGAAAAAAATTCTTGCATCTAGTGAACATCAACTTGTACACAAAGGCCCAGTTACAGTCTTGCCATACTCACAACGTGCCAGGCAGCCACAAGATCTAACACCAGTAACTGCATTCTCATTTTACCGAAAGCAATGTCAAAGCATCTAGCTCAGATAGAGCACAAGACTGGACCTTTTCAACAGCCAAGGAAAGTCATCTTAATAATTTGGTTTCTCAGAACAGATTTATCTCCTTTAGGAGATGCCTAATGATATTTAAATCTGTCACCTTCTTTACACAACCAGGACAACTGTTAAGATAGCTTTTAGGACACTAGATACTTCCTGAAGTACAGGGAAGATAAAGGGAATAATGCATATTTAGCAAGGTACGAGGTTTTGGGACTTCACTGACTTCACTTTGGCTATCAGATCAGTTGGAGCCCATTAGTTAGGATCCAAACATACAACATGATGCGAGTCTGTTAATAGCAAAACGAATGAAATTCTGAAGGGAACCATTTGGTGTGGCTGAGTTTAAGGCAAGAGCTTAGGATAGGTTTATGTTTTAACAAAAAAGGCAAAAGAAGTGAACAGATTTATAACCCGTGAGGATATGCTTCCCCCCATTGCATCCCTGCTGTAACCAAGCTGCACACAATGCCAAGATTGAAAGAGGTTACTGGTGTTCAGTGGGACTGTTCATTTGTGTTGGACAAAACTGGAACATTTCCCACTACAGCATTCTTGTTTTTTTTTTAATATGGCTATACATCTGTAGACGAACATTACATGAAACACTAAAAAGCTATTCCTGGTCAGTCCATTGCAAATGATATTGCAGAGAAGGAGCACCTATACAGAAACGAGCAACAAAAGCAAGTGCAGAAAACCTTCTATACACACACAAAAAAATGCAAAGATAGGGACTACTGCAGGGAAGGGCACATAAAAGAACTGTACAAAATACAAACATACATTGCAATGATATACTGATGGCCCTGTTTGCCATTCCACTTGCACTATAAAGACCAAGGGAGGTAAGGGGACCCTAAAACCATCACAATTCTGAG